TTTCAGTGAAATTTAGTAATAGGGCACGAAGCTATTCATGCTAGCAAACCCGTTAACTGTTTCAGCAAATAAGAACTTGCTCAGAGAGGTCTGTCAGAGCTCTTCAGATAAGTCTCTGAACTAGATTATGCATAAACTAGCATAGACTGCAATACTTAAAATCCTGCTGTAACGTAAGATTGTTCCCCAATGAGTGTTTTGTTGGTGCAGGACAGATAATTTTTTCAACATACTGAAAATTGCTTTGACTCTCTGAAAGAGCGGCCTTTGTTGTCATTACAGCATACCTCAGAGTTACTAACAAAGATCAAAAGTTTTTTTCTTTGTAAACCAAAATAGGCAAAGACTTTCTCCTGCACAGAAAGAATAGACCAGTGCTCAGAACTACAGAGCATGTGATTGGCATTTCCAAAACTTTACCACCACTACAACAGAACCTGAGTAGGCAGAGGTTCTCTTCGAGGAGGAAACATCCATATCCCTCCCTCAGAGGATTTCAGACTCTGCAGCTAGAATTTTTCAGTAGGACACAAATAAGTAAAACAAGCTTCCCCCCATCCATGTTCCTTGGAAAATCCTGACCTATCTACTTCTCTTCCTCAGAATCTCCCTACCTCTCCTAGTTTCTTGTCAGCCTTACACCTTCCTCTTCAGAAGCTCTTCCAGGCTAGCATGAGTTGCCTCTGGAAGGACCCCTCACCTCACACTGCCTTCCTGACCAGGCTGCAACAGCCCAGACTGCCAACAGCCCCCTCCCCACCACCTAACCAAGTCCTTTCTGGGATCACTCTAACACACTATGCTAGTCAACTCACAGGCTCAGCCACTATGTCCTCCCTCAATCCATCTCAGGTTAGGACTAAATTTGCAATAAAAAGTTTCTAATCAAGCTTATATTCTCATTCTTGCCAATGCTTTCAGTTTTATCCAACAGCTTCAAAAATGATACAAATGAGATTCCTAACTATATCTAAACTAACCCAGAAACACATAGAGTCCCACTGAAAGTCCAAGATCTGTGTTTCTAAATTATTGCACTATCCTTGGAAATAACACCTAAAATTATATTTAAAGTACTGGAAGAAAAATTCTGATATCTGGGATAAATTGCCAAGAAATCTTGAGATGTTACTTACACCAGAGTCAAATCTGTTACCAAAATCTGGAACTTGAACTAGTAGTGCATATTTCACACTCTCAGACAATTATCAACTGCTAGAAACTTCTGAGACTACTGAAATGGGACAGATTGAATACATCAGCTAGATTCAGTCCATTTAACTAAATATGAAATGCTCTACAGCCCAATACCTATCAGAGTTCTGTTATCCTCCCAGATTAACTCTTTCACAACAGATACCTAACAGGCATAAATATAAGTAAGCAGTAACCCCGTAGAGACTATGACAGCACAACTTTTCCTTTTTTTCAAATAGAAAAAGATCCTTAAGAAAATTAAACATGCAAAAGCAGCTCTGAGTTAGTGCAATCACTTGCAGGTACTTCATGGACATAACATCACATCTACAGCACTCAGTCCTGGGAGATAAAACAAATAATTAAGCCAGGAAAAGTTGACCAAAGGTTGCATGCTCAGATGTATCTGTCCTCATTTTATTCTTCCTCTGAAGTAATACAGTCACAGAAAATTATCTCGTTTCAAATTCCTAAGATAGACTTTTCTGCTGGGCACCACTACTGACCTGCAGCATTTGAAGATAGCCTTCTTGTGGATCGCACAGCAGTGATGATATTCGGTGATTGTTCCTCATGCATCTCTGATTGTTGTCCCTTGAGAGAGGGAAAATTTGCCGGATAACTGTCATCCTCCCCAGAGCACTATGTACCAACTCTAATATTTCATTATCAGTGATTTCCTGTGAATGGAGACATAGTTTTTAAAAACATGTATTTGTCCAGACATTTTATATATATTCCTTTCATTATTGGACAAATGTTCTTAAAAAGACAACAGAAGAAAGTTGCAGATGCACATACTCAGTCTAGGCCAAATGTTCTTATTTTGTGTTTGATAACAACGTGGGTTTTTTTTACATGTCATCTGAAATGAAGGAAAACAGTTTAACACAGTACCATCTATCTTGGCAATACTAACATACTGCAGAGGTAGTTTCTCATAGAAAAGCACCAAGATGGTCTCAATGGGTTTCTAAGTGAAAAAAAAAAAAAAAAAGACGACCTCGAACCAAACCAAATTTGTATAGAAAGAGTTTTGGTTTAACAGAATAAAACCTTACTATATCCTCAGAATGAAACAAAAAAAATGCAAAACATAACTGTCTTTAGGAAATATGGCCTTTACACCTGACAACAATGTTACAAGAAAGTACTTTTCCCATGAGAACAGTAGATAATTTCTGTAGACTAATCCTGGTAATGACTCAAGGAAGTCTTTTGACGTTGTCTGTATTAGGAAATAAAAAATAAGAGAAACTTCATGGAAGGGATCGACACATTTAGGCATGCAAGTTTCTGCACAAAAAATAATTTAGGATAAGATATAAGGAGATCTCAAGGACAGGCTGCTCTTCTTTCCAGGTTTCACACCGCCTAAAGCTTCTTTGCAGACCTTCCCATGTCCCAGCCTCTCAATCCATCCTGGGACAGAGTGGGCACCTACTGCCATTATATTGCAACTGAAACCAACTCAACTACATGCTTTACATCTTTTGTATTTTTAAAAAAGCCACAAAATCAAAACGTCTTTTTTCTACCTCAAGATAGTTTGAATATCATGGGCTTAGCTGATCCTGAAATCATCACAGCGGTACAGCTTGTGATCATTGTTTCCCGCCAGGAGCTCACTGGGAGGAAGGACAGGCAGTGGCACTGCTGACTGCATTCGTTCCCCCAGGCACTGCCTCCGCAGGGAGCAGCTTTAGGTTCCAGCTCCTTACCTCCGCCACCAGCAGCATCTGTGGGTCACATCAGCCCATCTCCAGCACACGTTGGCTGCACAGCTGGGTCAACCCATTGCCCAGCTTGCACAGGGCTGCTCTCAGCCCCTTGCAGGGTAGGGGGCTGCAAATTACTCATGTTGCTGTACTTGGTCAACAGGGCCCACATCTTGTGATGTGTCATCAGCAGAAGCGAATCTGGCCCCGCATTTTCAACATTCAAGAAAAAAAAATATTTTCTTTTCTTGCCGTTTTCTCTGTCAAGCTGTGAGTGAAATGACCATGGAGTTATTATAATTACTTGTTCCGGTTGACTAGTATTGTAGCTTTGGCTCAGTTTAGTTCTTTGCCGATTTCCCATCTTTTTTTAGGAACATGAATTTTTAACTTTGCAGAAGGTGAAATTCATTGCATTAATGACAGAAAAACTGGTGTGGTGTGAAAACAGAAAATCAGGAAATAAATATATTTTTATAGAAGCCAGAAATTTTGAGGCTTAATAGAATACACTGGATGACATCTGTAGCCTTACAGGGAGACACCAAAGGAGACCCACAAGCTCTACAGATCCCTCCAGGCTGCTGCCTTGGATTTCTCTTTTGTGTGGTAGAGAGATGTTAAAGCCACACAGTGTGTCTGAGCTGCGGTTTGACAGAAAGACAATTTTATGGGATAGCTTTAACTCATAAACCCCTAGGCTGCATCCCCTGGCAGGCAAACTCAGAGTGAGTGGCTGGAAACAGGAAAAAAATACCACGAATTATCCAAACCAGCAGTTCCCCTCACACCAAACGTATTTTTTGTTCTCCCCAAGTGATGCACAACCTTTCAAAGACGTCTAATAACCTGTGTCAAAATGCTTGACCTGAGACATGTAAGCCTACACGTAGCAGACCAGAACTGCTTCCCCCATGGGATTTCCAGAAGCAAGGTAGTGGAGAAGATCAATCATATTAGACACATTAACCCAGGTTCTTCCCATTAGCTATAGGCACCAAGTGAGTCATGAATGTAAAAGTCTAGCTACTGTACAGCCAAAGAAGAAAAATGGGAGCCTCTGGAGGGAAATTCAGAACCTAAATTGGGCTAAATCTGACTCTGAAAGAGCCACCTTTTCCTGTGTGGACAGCTGACAGTAGCTAAAACTTTCAATACCTCAGTTCAGTACATAATGCCAATAGGAGAAAAGCTCCTATATTTTTTTGTAGCTGATGGAGACTTACACCAGCAAATGATCCATTCCTTTTAGAAACTGAATTCCTTTTTAGAAATGTAAAAGCATAGAAAGAAAAGTTGTTGGAAGACCTGGGAACAAAAGGTCTATGTCTGCATTTTTGAGCTGGTGCTCTAAAAGCTAAAGGTGTCTACGGGCCTTTCCATGCCAGTTCACAGGGTAATAAAGCCACAGGCAACATTGCAGAGCACCTCGGGCAGATCCGGGATCAGGCAGGCATGGCTGAGTGCCTGAACTGCAAAGGAGAGCAGGTCACCACCATCCTGCACCAGAGCAGCCTGGCTGTGGCTTCCCTGGCCAGGGGCTGCATCCCCTTCCTCTTGCCTGCCACAGCCCTGCAGACTTGTTTCCAGAAAGCTCATGGTTCTAGCTTAGAAGCACATGAAACCTTAAATGTCACTCACAGAAAGGTCACTTGCATTCTAACTGTGACAAATACAGAGGGGGAAAAAAAAGAAAAAAGAAAAAAAAAACCAAGCCAAAAAAGGAAAAACAAGTATATGTGAAGTTTGCTCTTTTACAACCATCAGAATAACAGCATATATCCAAAAAATATTTCTAAGCTTTAGAGTGTCACAGGGAAAAAATAATTTCACACTGATCTTGCAATTAAAGTTTATTAATCTAGTTATTTGTTTAAAAGTAACGTTTTCTTTCCTGTACATGATATGAAAATTTTCTTTACGCTGTGAAACTGACAACTAAGCAAATAATTTAATTTGATCCTAGAGGGTTTGTTTTTTTTTTTTTCCCAAACGAATATATCCCAAATTTCCAATCTTGTTCTCGGATCACTACACAACAGAAGACAGCACACAGTGGGGTTTTTTTTTTCCCAAACAAATATATCCCAAATTTCCAATCTTGTTCTCAGATCACTACACAACAGAAGACAGCACACAGTAAGTACCAGTCATACTATGCATGAATGCTGTATTCTAAACAGAGCTTATCAGCTGGTTTGGCCAGGCAAGTGCTTCTTGCCAAGTTCCATATCAAATACCTGCTTTTTGGCTTTCATGATACCATGATGTTGCCACTGCAACATGGGGTAAATCTTTACTTAATACAGACGGTGGCTTCCGCTTTTTTCAGGGATATGCTTTAAGGAAGTTTGAAGAGCCTAACTCTCCATTGCTTGGCACCTTCAATAGCAGTTTGCACTCAGGCCTGTAAATATTGAATTTCCTGAATGAGGATGGAGGGAGAGCACTTTAACTAGGGATAAAAGATTTTATCTTATCTAAGTGCTCTTATCCTGGATCTTTCTTTTACTAAGAGAAAGATTTGGCTATTTCCAATATTTCAGAGAGCACTGAAATATATTGATAGGCAGACGTAAGTTTAAGATTGACTATTCACCCAGGCTAATAGTATAGTTCTCACCATCTGACTCAACACTGAAAGGAATTGACTATTCACCCAGGCTAATAGTAGTTCTCACCATCTGACTCAACACTGAAAGGGTATTCCTTTCTGTTCATGTTGTGTATTAATGGCAAAGTTTACTCTTCAAGAATTTGTGGCGTTCATTTATCTATTTATTTGCACACAAATATTGGTCATTTGGGGAATTTGTTATCTATTTATTTATCTGCACACAGAGAACTCCAGTTAGCTTGTAATACCTAGCCATATTGCTCAGGGGAATATTTAAATCTGCTCTAGTTGTGCTCAACTATCATAACACAAATTGCAAAATGAGACAATTATGTTTCACATTACAATCTCTATTTTCCTAGAGGTAATGACAGAAAATTATAAATTTTAATGACATTAATGATTTAAAGAACCAAAAGAGATTTCCAGAAAGCACGTCGCTGAGAAAATTGGAGTTGTTGTTGGGTGAATGGCAACTGAATGGCAATGAGGACAAGGATGCTTATGGAAACAAGTTACCGATTTATGTGGAATTTTTGCATTAGGATTGATACTGTTTGTTGGGTTATTCCAGTTCCCCTCAATGCACTATGTACATCTCTAAAGGGACATTTGTTCACTTGTTGAAAATCCAGAAAACATCCTTCAATTAGCTGTTTTATAAAACATTTGTGACAGCGTACCCTGTAAATAGATTTATTCAACTTTAACATTATGCTGACTTCTCTGCATCCCACAGGAACAGACACACAGACATGCGTATAAAAAGGTTAATCCTTTAAGGCAAGGGCAGAATCCATTTTTCATAGCACAGAAATGCACGACCACCTGTCCAACTCCCATTCTCATTGTCCTCCCACACATCCAACACTACCTCACCTCTCTCCCTTTTACTTGATGCTCCTAAAAATCTCTACAAGAATGTATTTACAATTTAATTGAATTGGCTCTGTTTCTGTATAAAGAATGCACTAGGTGTCTAGAAGTCTTTCCCAGATCATAGCAAGTGTCTATACAGAAAAAGATCGTCTGATTTAACAAAATATTATTCCATACTAAAAAGTAATTATCTCAGGGGAAAAAAAAAAAAAAAACAACAAGAGAAAGCACATAAAATGATAGTTATCAAAAGCTGGACAAAACAAAAAGGTCACCATTGATTTTAATGTTAATTTCACTGATAAAACCACTCCTCAAAGTTCATCTAACCTTGCTCCCAGCTGATTAAGACTGTTTCTGTGTAATCCAACAGCATTAGAATTAGGTCAATTTGGAACTCTACAAATTTCTTTAAGCAGGGTACAGGTTCGCATGCAGTACAGTTTCATGTATATGTATACCTTTC